AAGCTGCTGTACTAGGTTGCCAATTTTTATGTTCTTTTCTCTCTGAAGAAAAGAAGATGTTAAATATCCCTGTGCCCCTAAGGAAAGTACTTACCCTCAAAGTCTTAACATAAGTCAGTTCACAAAAGTTCTTACAATTACCCCCATTTCAAAGCATTCTAACTAAAGGGATCCAGGTTTGCAGCTTACTTTTCTATCTCAAATCTTGTTGCATATATATTTTCTTTAAAGGCTACTTCCATATTTGTAGGTGGAGATTCATAATATCCCCTTGATACAGGGAAAGGGCCAGTGACTTGCTTTTTTATAAGTACTTATTTTGCAATACCTTATAAAGTAGAAAGTTCTCAAAAAGTATATAAAGCTATTATTGCTATATTTTTTTTTGAGTCTGCCATTATGGAAAAGAAAATATGACCATTGTGGTTTGATATTCTTCTTCCATTCTTAGTTATTTAACATCACAAAATGGTAATTTTTATCTTTGTTTTGACTGAATTTGGGGAGTTAATGGAGTTATATAATGCATTAACTGTCAACTCTCTTTTCTCTCTTCTACTGAGAAATTAGTTATCCATTGCTTATTTTGCTTTTTCCTCATTTATTCTACTTGACTATTTGTTAAAATAGGTTTTTACTGTGTCCATATGATTTTAATATAATGAAAGATATTAATCTGAATAGTAAGTTGCATTAATTATGTAATAGAAAAAAAGTCAAAATAAAAGTCATGAAGGAGAAAATGATTAGAAACTGTATCTTTTTGCTATGCCTTATTGATTCCTGCTAGGAATCCATACATTAAAAAATACATTAGCTGGGTTTATCAATCTCAATAGTATAACATTTAGTTTAATTTCTTCCTTGGATGTGAGAGTGGCTGCATCATAATTCTTATATTCTTTCCAATTTTATTGTACATGTTGTTTCAATTATTTTTCCTATTTTTTAATCAAAGGTGGGCAAAATTGCCTTTAGTGGGCTACAAATTTCTCTTCATTTCTTTTTATTTTGTCCCCGCCCCCACCTTCTTAATCTCAATCAGTGGGAATTTGATGATACTACTGAACATGTGAGTAATTTCTGAGTGCTTTGTCAAAAACAGACTGTACATGTATGCCTGTCTTTTCTGATCACTTTCTTTCACTTGTGATTTGTCAATGGAGTTGGCTTGGATGCATGAACTAACTCACCATTTTTAAGTTATCTTCACTACGTATGCACTTTCCGTTTTGGTTACTATATTGTGAAATCAGCATGGTGCTACTGACTGCATAAGGAATGGGCTCCTGATATTTATTTTCATTTCTGCTACTAATTCTGCCTTGTAACACAGTCAAAGGAGGCATGCTTCAAATGGAGGCATCCTAGACTGAAGGTGGCAAGTAGTTTGATATAGGTTGCTTGTTATCCTTGTATTGAGTGGACAGCATGGTGTGCATCTGGCACTCATTATCTAGATGTTGCTGTTCTCCATTGTACTCCATTTAAAATTGGAGTGAATCATGTCAAGAATTAAGCAGTTTCTCACTATGGAAGGAATTTTTTTTTAATACATTTGAATGAGTGGTTCATGTTATTTATTGAGAGCCTACTGTATATAAGGTACTTCAAGGGACACAGGATATGACACCTACCTTACAAGTGTTTACAGTGTAGGTAGCTAGGAAGATGTGAAGTTCTGAAAAATTTGTAAAATACAGCAAATGTAAAGGCCTGAAGCAACCCGTAATGCCAGGAGCTGACAATATCAGTAAGAGCTTTGAATTCAGACACAGTGGACCAGGATGGTAGACAAGGTTACAATATGTACTTGAGATTTTAAGGGATGAGTAGGGGGTGGGTGGGTGGGTGTATGTGTGTGTGTTTGTTGGTTGGTTGTAGGTGTGCTTTTTTTTTAGAGCAGAAGGCATCAGGAAGGCAGTTGAGATCGATGTATAGTTGGGTGAGAGTGAGACACAAAGAAAACTTATGTTAAGAATGTTAGTGATAAATACAGCTAAGGGTGAATAATATAGTGAAAAACTGCTGAAGAGCTAGTGGTCTTCAGTTCTGCAGATATGAAGAAAATCATTAAAAAGAAAAATAACAAAGGTAGCAAGGAAGGTAGTTTATCCATTGTATATTTTTATTGCCAGAGCACAAGGTTCTTATTGGGGATCTTAGAAAATATAGAGAGAGTATCAGTTCTCGTGGAATTAAGGCTGCAGCACTATTTTATAAACTTCATTGACCATGACACACAGTAAGAAATAGATGTATGTTTTGATCCGGTACACACACATGTTTAACAGAAATAGAAGTTTTATAAAGCCATATCTTAATTTTAAATATAATGAACTCTTTTAACATTTTTTTTTTACTCAAGTCTGTTCCATTTCCTTTCTGTTTAAATGCTGGTCACGACTTGCTAAATTGATTTCATGACCTACTAAATGGGTCATTACCTGCAGTTTAAAAACTAGTGACTTAGTGGATAAATTAGATACCGAAAATATAGCAAATAGAAAAACAAGGGGAAAGAGTCCTTCTACTAATTCACTCATGAAGTGATCAACATTGGACAAAGTTGAGACAAAAAAGGGAAGAGTTGTCGGCATCTTAAGAACTGACAAACACATGCTGAGCCAAAACTTGAAAAAGAGAAAGATGTCAGAGAAAACTCATAAGTTTTAAAGATGGCTTGCCTTTCATTAAAATATGTAAGTAAGGAAGGTGGTGGTCTGCTTCTGGGAATGCTTTTGATGTTTTAGATAACTGGAAAAAAATCACAAGGAAACGTCCAGCACATTCTGACCATATGCATGCCACTGGAACTTGGGATGGTTAAAGCTGGAGATAAACATGTGACGGAGAAATAATTATTTTAGGTTTTGAGATGAATTCAGGTTTTTTAAGACAAGAGAGAAAGGCAGCACACCAGTACTGTGATAGAACCTCAGAAATGCCAGCTCTTAACAGGCAGGAGTACAGGAGGAAGAGGAGGAGAGAAGAAGAAATGGGAACTGGGTTCCTCCCCTTAGACATACCCCTTCACCAAGGAGCCTGAAACCATCAGCTTAAAGAAAGAAAATGTATCCCAAGTAGTATTATTATCATGGCCAATCCAGGAGAGGCTGGCAACAATGTCCTGCTGATAAGGATTTGCCCAATTTTAAAGAGTGTTACTTATGGTATCCACTGACAATCTAGGCAAGATGAAGGACACACATGATTAGCCCCAGTTTTTTGAATCATACATTGATAGAGAGCTTTGGGTGCATGCATTTCTTGCCATTTAACTTGGTGGTAGAGCCAAGCTGCTGCCTTTTCCCTGTTAGCTTCATTTGCTTTTCAGCAATGATCTAGGGAACCATGGAAAATAGTTAGCATGTATTCATCACAAATTTTAGAATATCCATTTTTCCCACCATAACATAAAATACTACTCTCAGGTGGTTTATTTGATTTTGATAACTTCTGTAATATAAGTGAAATCATCTCAAGATCCTGCAGATAAAATATTTTTTCCAAATACTTTATTTATCTGGTGGCATAAAATCTCCAATGGCTCTTCAGGATGGAATCTGAAGTGCTCCAGTTTCCACATTGATGGTATTCCTACTCTCTTTAGAAAGCAGCTTGTCAAAAGCTGTCATTTAGGACTACCTTCAAAAATTGTGTTCTGTGGTACCTGATAATAGTCTTGCTAAGAAAAACCCTATTGTATTGCATACAACCCAGTGTTCACTGACACCTATGCTGTTTTTAGATTTGGAGGAAAATGACATTGTGCATTTCTTAAATTTATCCAAAGTCAATTTGGAATCATGGAAGTGAAAAAATCTGTACGAGTATGTGTGTATGCTATATGTGAGTAGCTCTAAAATATAGAATAAATCAGTAACTAGAACTCTAGATGGGAACACTCCCATTTAGCCCTTAATTTGTAGAAACAGTTCAAAGATGATGTCTGGTCTTATAACCATCACAACTTTGGACCCTTGCTAAAAGAGAAGTAAGAGAGTTGGTACATAGTTTGTGATATTTAATATTTTCTAAGCAGTTGAATGAATTAAACACATATTAGCAATGTAGTACATGTCTTCTTATACTATTGGTTTTATAATCGGATCTCTATTGTTCGTAGCCTATATAATTAATTAACAATGAGTTCCCGGAGTTCTCTGGCTCTGAGGATATCTAGGTCTAACAGATCAGCCATCTGGTAAACTTCTTACCTGGTGGTAGAACAGACTTCATCAGCACCTGCCATATCACCAGTCAGTGGACTGGGCTTCAATGGATAGATAAGGAAAGCTGTTGGTAGTAGATAACAGGTAGTTTGTGGATCACTTACTATGAGCCAGATACAGTTCTTATATCACTCATTTAATCCTCAGGTTACCTTTGCTGGTAACCTTCAGACAGAAAACGGAGGTGCAGTTGGGCAAACTTGCTTGCCCTTGTTTATCAAGCTAGTAAGTAAGGCAGGTTTAAATTCAAAGAATTCAGGTTTGGCTCCAGATTTTTTTTTTAAACTGCTATGCCTGAAAGTTGCTGCTTAGGATGCCTGAAGACCCACCTTCAATGTCAGCATGAAAATAGATTTCCATAGCATGAGCTGCAGGCATGAGACTTCAGTGCTTAGCATGACTTCAGAGGATGCTCAGGCATGCACAGAGTGATGATTGAAGGCCTCGTTTTCCTTAGGGTATTTGTGGCATATAATGCATCAGTGTTGTTCTTTGGTGTCATTTCAGGACATGATCATATCTGGGCTACAGCCTGAAACTTCCTACTCCCTCACAGTCACAGCCTACACCACTAAAGGAGATGGTGCTCGCAGCAAGCCCAAACTGGTGTCCACCACTGGGGCAGGTAATCATATCTATACTCATTTGTGCCTTGAACAATATTACCAACTTTCCAAGTGCTATGGGTGGAGTCCATCATTGTTTTGTTACAGTAAAATTGGAGGAAATAAATGGACCATGTTTGGATATTTTTTTTCTTTTCATATTCAGATGGGTAATGTGCAGATGTCTCTAAACAAGGTTTAGAGGGAGGCACATCTCACACAATAGCATGAACACTCAGTCATCACACTTATGAACCAAAGAATCAGCCATGGTTTTTTTGTGTGTGTGTGTGGATTTTTTTTTGTATTTTTAGTTCAGGAGAAGAGTTAAGGAGAAAAGAGTAATTTAAGTGCTGTTTATCCAAATTATTCAATCAGTCATTCAATAAATGTTTTAGAGTACCTGCTATGTACAAATGGAACAATTCTGTTTTTTAACCTGGACTAGTTCAGCTAACAAATGAATCAAGAGTATATAATAAAATTTGAGGTTGTGATAAGATAAAAGGTATATAGACGAGTGTCGGCAATCTCTCTTAAGACCTAAGAAGATCTTAGAGGAAGGATATTTAAGCTGCATCTTGAATGTGAAGGAGCAAGACCCATGAAGGTCCTAAAAGAAGGTGTCCACACAGAAGTCACACAGCCAGTTCAACCTCCCCACAAACAAACCCTTTTGGAAGAGCCGCCATCTTTTCTTGGGTTCATGACTTGCAGTTTTATTCCTTGTCACTTTTTTCTCCTCGCCCTCTGCTGTGGGGATTGTAAAGAAGCCAGATTGCACAAAAATTGGAGAAAGAAGAATATCAAGGAGGTTCAATAATATAAAATTGCCCCTTTCTGAAGAACAAAGCTTCCTTGGGGCTCTTTGTTCGGCCACATTAGGAAAAGCCAGCATGAAGGAAGGTCTGGCATTGTAAAACCGATAAATTAAGAGATAATTACAAAAGGATTCTTCTCCAATCCCTTCATATAGCAATCTCCCATGGAACATTTAAGCTGTGATTTGATTTACTCCTCTCGAATTGCTTCTCACACAACTTTTTAGGAACACACCTCTATGCAAAGGCTTAAAGCAAAGAACAGCTGTGATGTTGAGCACCCTCCTGGGTGCCATGCTCATTGCCAAATTTGTCTAAATGTCATAAGATTTGCCTCGCTCACATCCTGCCACCTGGAACTGCCTCAAGCAGCAGGATTACAGATGGCAAAACTCCTTCAAGGCAGAGTCTTTCGGACTTTTGTTTTTCCCACCCTCTTTTTCCAAGAATACCATTGTATCAAGCTAATTTAGTGCCCTGAATAGGAGGGACATGTTCAGTGAGTGGGGTGATGGTATGGTGACTAGCCAGCTATAGAAGGTGCCACAATTGGAATATTGACAACCACTGTTAAGCCCCTGAAATTAAATCCAAAATTGAAGAAATGGATTGCCTTTATCCCCTTTCCTACTACCTGAAAGTCCTATGTGAAGCATCAAACTCCTATTGCCTCTAACGTGGAGGTCATGGAATAACAAAGAAGAATCACAGGACTTACAGCTAAGGGATAGGAACCCCCAAAATGAATGAATCTGTGTATTTTAATGTCACTAAAACTAGCTCATTACTTTTTAGTCACCATGCAGATCTACAATTACGGCTGTTATTTATACATAGAATTCTTTTGGAATTTTTATTCATAATTTCACATCTTCCTTTAACCAACAAATATTAAGACGACAAATGCTGCTAATTTACATGCATGAACATTTGCTTTCTTGACACTTCCTCACTGAGCTTGGGATGGAAGTGCCCAGATTTAAAATTCCTGTAAGAGAAAAGCTCCTGGTTCACCTTACTGCCATCCTTCCCCGTCTGAAGCATTTCCCTAGCAAGAGTTTTTTCTCTGGGTAAAAACTCATAGCCATTCAGAGCCCTTGCCCCAATTGATTTGAACTGCATCTAATAATTCTATTACATTCCGAGGGAGGATTTAGTCCTGTCTTCATGTGAGCAGCCTCTCCTGAGCTGGTATTGGCAGCTCTTTCTGTAGCTACCTCAGCATTTCATTTCTTTCCTGAATCCTTCCCTTGTGCTTTTTCTGCTCCCAGGGTGGTTTTCTCAATAGTGTTCAGGCTTAGTTAAACTTGTGCCTGGAGAAGGAATGGCTGTGGTGGGTTGGAACTAGAGAGCAGACTGGGATTGCTCCTGACACAGCAGGGAAAACCAGTAGGTCAGAACCGATGCTGCATCTTCTAGAACATTATTCGATCTCATGATTCCAAGCCCACAAGCCTTTATACCATGTAGTAAGAAAGGGTGTGGGCTGGGATTGTGGCTCAGTGGTAGAACGCTCGTCTAGCAAGTGCGAGGCCCTGGGTTCTATCCTCAGCACCACATAAAAATAAAATAAATACAAAAAAAAGATATAAAAAAATAAGCATAACATAAAATTAAAAAAAAAGAAGAAAGGGCATGCCAAAATTGAAAAACAGTGTATGCTACTCCCTCCTAAGCTTTGACTCCCACCGAGGAATGTTTTCATAAACTGGATGTTTTTTTTTCCATTATATTTCCCATTATAGTGTACCTTAGCAATATTAAGTGAAACAGCAGATAATAACAAAGTATTATGATCTAACCAATGTTATTAGACTGCAATCAATATTTGTGATTTTTATCAAGAAGTTAAAAGGTATTTTTGATCTAGCTTTCCATGCATCTTTTTAAAATATATATATTTAGTTGTAGATGGACACATATTTTATTTATTTGTTTTTATTGATGCTGAGAATTGAACCCAGTGCTTCACACATGCTAAGCAAGTACTCTACCACTGAGCCACAACCCCAGCCCATGCATCCTATAGAAACAAGATATGCAGCTTACATACCATTAAGGAGTTCCTTGGATCCAGAGTTTTTTAAAAAAATTCAATAAACATATTTAATAAATATGTTAGCACTGAAGAATGTGAGAGTTAATTGTTATAGTTCTACCATATAGTTCTATCTGGGATTCGTTTACTGAAGGTTACATTCTCTCCTAAAAGCCCCCCACCCCCGCATTTAACATGAATTTTTCTAAGCATAGACTGAAGTGTTTGATTCTTAGCACCAACATTCACATTTTAATGGACAAATCATATAAATGCTTATATACATAAATGGAAATTAATGGT